TTTGCCAAATATCGCCATTTACAAAATTTTTTAAAACTTCGTTATTGGTGGTTAAGTATTCAAGACTTTTAGAAAAATTTTCGTACATGCCTGGCAATTCAAAAAATTTTTTTATTTGAAATTTAATTGGAAATAACACACCCCTTACTAATGCTGCATTTAATTTGTTTACATGTCTAGTTTGCAAGTTACTTATTGAATTATTTATGGTGATGACTTGTGGACTTTCGTATAAATTTAGTTCTTTAAGAGTTTTAATAAACTTATACTCTGAGTTAAAGTCTTTAAATGGATCGCTACAAATATTTACTAAATTTTCAATATCAGCTTTAATATCGTCTTTTCCTAGCGAATCGAAATTTTGCAATATTTTTTTTAATTGGTTTTTTAATGGACACAAAATCATGTTTGTAACATCTCTTTGCAACTCAACGGTTTCTTTTCTAGGACAATTTATTTTTGCATATTGTTTCATAGACAATTTAATGCAACCTTCTTTTAAAGTTTCTTCATTTACATTTAAACTTGTTATGTTACTTAAAGTATTTGTACTTTGATTACCAGTATCTGTTATTATAGTATTAGGTGCCATTGAAGTAGTATTAGATAAACATTCGTCGTTTACATTTTGATTGCTTAATAAAGTAATTTCATATCTTTTGCGTTCATTTCGCATGTGTCTACAAAGTGATTTAAAATTCGTAAATGATTGGTTACAAGCTGTAAATCCACATTTGTACATATCGTATTGTGATAAACAATGAATAATTTTGAAATGTTTAAATAAACGATCGCATTGTTCAAAAGATTGTGTGCACACAAAACATTTAATTTGTCCTTCCATTTTTAGTTATTATTAAAACATTTAAATTGTTTTAAATCACTTAATATTGCACACAATGAGGTACTTTTCTCGTGTGATTCCAAAGCAATGTCATAAAAGTATTGCTGGACAAAAAACCAAATAGATTTGCATTCGGAAGGATATTTAAGATTAAGTACGTGGAATATCTTAAAACACACATCAATACATTTGATAACATTATCGAACTTATAAAATATGTTGGCGAAGTACACGAAATATTCGTTGCTCTCAAACAAGCTCATTCCAATAGCACATATGATGGGCTGAATGGTGCTTTTGCCCTTATAATTCTCATCAACCATTAATTTCAGTTTTGATTGAAGTTCACAATTAGTTGTTGCCCATATTAAAAAACTGTTTCTGGAATCTTCAATAGTGGCTTTGACCAAATGTTGCTTTTTTGTTTGCTTGCACGTTTTGTATTCTCGGCTGGTTGGAACTAAAACAGAATGTAGAAGATAGCATGTGACCGCATCCGTACCTTCTAAAATTCAAAAATTCATCAATAAATAATTTAGATTATTATAAAATTTAAATACCAGCTTTAATCGTTCCTTCCTTAAATTGCTTCCAGGTTGTCAAACTGTGTGAATCTTTAATATAAATCTCAAAAATATGGCGTACTGCTTGGCTGAAATTTTCCCACTTTTCGAATAATAAATTTTTCTTCTCTGGGTACAATTTGTTAAAGTCCGTCTCAATCTATCAATCAAACATTAGTTAATTACCCATTATATCATTTAAAATATTCATTTAGTTGAGTAAAGCCCAGAGAAGTAATACTGGAATATTTCACTTGGAGAAATTCGTATATTTTTTATGTTAATGACATTTACAGGATAACTTGAACTTGGCCTTACTCAATTATAAATTAATTTCAAAATAAGCACGCAATATATTACGAGTTATACCAATAAATGTCCAAAACTCTGCTTATATAGGGGCCATTCTTCTAAAATTTTATTTAGATTTGAATCATCTTGCAGCATTTGGCACCTTACTTCAAAAGTCAATTCCCATTTGATTTGCACTTCATCAAAAGGCTCGACGTTATACTTAAGCCACGATTTTTCTTGAGTGTAGTCTATGAAAATAATTTTTTTTTTTTAATTCGAATCTAAACTCAATCTCAAAATTATAAACGCACCAACTTTTCAAATTGATTTCCTAGAACAATTTTTCTGAGGAATCGAATTGAAAAGTTTAAAATTTTGATTAAAATTTCCCTAATTTTCCCCGAGTTCTGTATCAAATTAATAAATTTATTCATGTGGTTTTTCCTGTGAATAAACTATACTTTTATAAAAAAATAAGGAAAATTTTTACTTATTTTTGACGCTCACTGTTTGTAAAGTAGATCTTTACCTGTCGTACATAAATTGCTATGTGCTGCTTTTTGCGGCTTCTCTTCGGCGGGCTTTTTATTTATAATGCCGTCCTGTCTACATTTGAATAAAGTGCTGTGGTATTTAGTGTATAAACATCCGCCTGGTTTTTTCCCCTTTTTATGTATGTAATATATGTCCTAAAAGAAGCGTGGCAGTTTGAATTGCTTCTGAAATAACAATGGCAAATGTGGCGACGTACCTTCGACTCACTTAAAAAGAAATTCGATATCTGGCTGGCGAACGATTCAAATGTTTTTGGGCTCGAGTTTACTCCGGAAGAAATCAAATAGTTTGCGATTGTTGCTGCAAGCAATTTTCTGTATTTTGGCGTAAGAACTTTTGTCTTACTGTAGTACTTCAAAACTTGACTTCCACTAACCGATCCCCTTAAAATTTCTTCGAGTGTTTTCTATATGTATGAAATGTAACGAAAATAGATTTAGTTTCAGTCACCAAAGCGTACATACGTGTTTGTGTTTATAAATAAGTTCTACCTCTGCAATACTTGCATTTGCGAATGATGCGCCCTCGTCACTTTGAGCTGTTTGCACATGAACGCCCTTGTAAATAGAAGAAAGCGGTTAGCGCTTTTGTATGCATGTACATGTGCACATTCCACAGCTTACCTGTTCGGTTTGCCAATTAAGAAGATTATGCTCAAATATTATCCTTGGTCCAAATTGCGCCGCATCGATGAGGGTATCCAAATGACTTGGTTTGAGCAGCATCATTGATTCCCTAGTAAAACCGCCCTCTAAATTAAAACCAATTAAACATTCACAAAAACAGATACATAAACTGCAAATATACTATTAACTTACCGCGAAAGAGGCTAAGGAACATTTCGCCATTCAATTTTATTAAAATTTCTTCCAATTCATCCATTTTACTTTTATTTTTTATCTTAACACGCGAACCGAAACAGCAAACAATATTATCAAGAAGAAGAATAGCGAAGCCTACTATTCTTGCGAAAGAGAAAAAGAGTAAACGATGAAATAAAGAGTTACCAACTGCGTTAATTGAAGCACGTTAGAAAACAAAGTGGGAGATTCGGAGCAGGGAACTCCATACATATGCATATATTACAGTGATTCACAGGATGTCATAACAAGTTATATTGGGCACGTTCAGAAGGCGCAACAGCTCAGTATCTGTTGCGATTGCACCTTCTGAACGCGTTGTTTCGTACTTCTGATCAACTCAACAGTTGCGTGTTAGATGATCGTAATATTTTTCTGATCATTTGAAACAACATGTTGTGTGTTTTGAATTTGACAGCTAATATATCAAGCCGTTCAGAAGACGCATTACGATCACTGATTTTTTTTAGCAACGGTTGCGCTCAACTGCTGCGCCTTCTGAACCTTCCCAATGTCATAAATCTTTTTAAAGGGATTCTTGCAAACATAAGACAGTTTTAAATGTATGACTGTGAAATAAGGGCTGTTATAATACTTTGTTAATGCTCCTGAATGTATTTTTGTGTAGTTTGGATATTTTCAATCTGATCGAAATCACAAATGAGTGGCAATAGTGGCATCGAATCTAAAATAATAAGGAAATAGCTTACATCAAAATGAACACCACGGTTGCATATTTTCTTGTCGCTTTTACACATTTCAAAGAAAAATTACTCATTCGGGAGAATTTTTCGAGATTTTGACAGAGCTAAAAATATGGAAAGTTTTTCTTTGTTTGAGAGATGGTGTTTTTTCTGAGTGTAAGAAGATAAGAATTACGTAGAAAAATAAAAAAACGCGAAAATTATATAGTTTAAAAAAGGAACGAACTCAAAAGAAGCGAAATAAGAAGCTAAAAGAAGAAGAAGGTTTTCCGATTAAATAATAAAAAATCTATTGGAATTATTTCGGCTATTTTTCTAGTACTACTATTATTCTACAAAATGCCGAGTCCTCGAATCCAACATTTCAAGGGCAAGAATAGTACTAAATAGCATAGAGCAAACAAAATAAGCCATTAAAGCCGTTTTTCGTGAAATTAAACGCGAAAAACTCAACAACTTGGCGCAATTCTAAGATCGAGTTCGAGTTCTACGCAGAAAATTACTTCGGAAACGACCTACGGCTGCACAGCATCAGAAACTTTGCAATCTGTATTCATAATTATCATGTTTTTAATTTCTTTGAATTACTTGTCACATCGCAAGACTACTTAATTCATGCTACTTATTGCATAAAATACACTAAAAGCGATTTAAATACCTAATTATAATCCTATCGCTACACGTATATCGCACAGGTAACGTAACAGTCTTTTCCAGTAACGTACCAGTCCGACTATTTTTTACAAATATTGACCTCAAAATTAATTTTATCAGTTCAGTTAATACCTAGTTCTTGAATTCCATCCTGAAGCTAGGAAACTGTGTACCAACTTTTGAAAACATTATATTAGGAGAGCAGACTTTTTCAATAATATAAAGCAACTTTAAAAAGTACTTCCAAAAATTGTAATGCAACAGTCCACTGTTGAAACATTCATAACTCCTAAACCGCAGGAGTTACAATGTATGTTTGTATGTATTAAATAATGCCACATACTTATGCTTTCAGATGCAAAAAGAAAAATTGTCCGAAAATTGTATTCTCGCGAGTTTCAGCGGTATTTAAAAATCAGGGCCATATGTATATGATCACATATGATTTCATTCTCCACATACGTAAATGTACATACATATGCATACATTTATTAAATTAATATTAAATAATTTATTTAATAAATTATTCTTTTCAGACATTTTGCGCATCGATCATCTCTGGATAATGCCAAATTTGACGAAGCTCTCGCTGAATTGTAATAAAATCGAGGTCATTGAACACATCGATATGTTGTTGGCGCTAAAAGAACTTGATTTGAGTTTTAATTACATCGAACGTATTGAGAATATTGAAAAACTCGTGAACCTCGAAGTTCTCACACTTTTTAGTAATCTAATAACAAAACTTGAAAATGTAGATACTTTAGAGAAATTGGTGATTTTAAGTTTGGGCAACAATAAAATCGAAACAACTGAGGGAGTACGTAATCAAATATTGTTTAGCTAAAGCTTCCATGCGCAATTTATTAACAAGTTACGATTTTTTTGGTTCACACAAAGATCGAACGTTTTCGTTTCTTGAAGGACCTACGCGTACTTAATCTGGAGGGCAATCCTATAGCAAAGAAAACTGAATTCCAAATGGATCTTTATGTTGCAGCTGTATTGCCTGGCGTAAAGTATTACGAATATAAAACGGTTACTGAAGACATGCGTCAAAAGGGCATGGAAAAATATTAGTAAGTAGATGAAATTAAGTAGTTTTCATATTTTTTTATTCGTAACGGTTATGATCGTTATGATAAAAATCATAATTTAACATTTAAAATTTGATTTATATTGTTCCGCTAAAATGTAACCGCTGTTTTTTTGATTTGTATTTTTTCGATCAAAAAACGGACATGAAAATGAGGTTTTCATGATAACAGTTAAAATTTATGGAAAATATAAAAATCCAAAAATAACGATTATTCAAAAAAAAAAATATCTACATTTAACGACTATTCTTGATTGAAAAAAAAATTAAAAAACGATTTTGCAATTTTCTAATATCAAAAATTTTGGTATTTAATGGTTATTTTCGGTCCCTACTTTATAGCTTTTAAAAATATCACCATCTAAATTTTGTACGGGGCACGCACCCTTTTATTTTGTTCTACGTATGAAATAAACACATCCACGAAAATTTCAAAGTTTTAGACAAAGTTTTAGTGGTTGGAAAAATTTTAATTATTTTAAATCTCAAAAATTTAACAACATTTTCACTTGAAATCTGATATATTTTAGGTATTAAAACTTAGCCATATAAATTCATGAACTAGCTGAATTATAGCAGGTCAAAGTAAAAATTTTGTAGATCTTTTGCGATTTTTTTTTTTTCAATAATATGAAATGCCATTATAACTTTGGTCCGAACGTTGCAAAGTGCGGCTAAAATTCGAAGCGTTAAAGAAATGGTTTGAAATTTCATTCTATGCGGTTTTCATGGTCGCTAAATACGAATCCGCTGTCGGAATTGCAAAATTCAAAATGGCGGATGCAGCATGGTATCTGGTAAATTTCGAGCTTTTTAATTCGATTTCTTAGAAAGATTCTGAGTATGCAGTTTTATAGCCTACTAGACCAATTCAAGTGTCACAAAGGATAAGTTTGAGGTAGCTAGGACTTACCGTTGATTTTTGGCAATTTTTTTCTTGACAGTGTCAGTCATTAGTTCTGTTCGCTATGCAAAAACCAGTAACATTCGCATTTGTACTACAGAAGGTGGAGGTTGTATTTGTCTAAGTATTTCTTGTGCCTATTGTGAGTGTGAAGTGTGTGTCAATTGTTAAGTGTAAAAGTTGGATGTTCTATTGTAAAGACTAGGTATTAAACTCCTAGAAAAAAAAAAAAAACCAAAAATCTGAAAAAAAAATAAAATAAAATAAAAAAGAAACTTGTGCTAGTGCTTGATCCAGACGTTCTTACGAAGGTGAGTGCTACAGTTCTTTGTGATTGGCGGTAGCCAAAATGGACAGCGACGCCTCGGCGTCAGAGAAGGGGGGAGCCAAACCAGGAGCTGGACACCAATCCAGCGTCAGACTGGTTTGAGGTAGGTAGAAACAGAAAACAAGCTGCAAGGAAAAGACAGATGAATAAAACTACAAAGGGGGGTCTTCCAATAGCTGAGTCAGAAACAGACGACGACTGTACCAAACGGACGGACACAGCAAGTACTACCAAAAAATCTAAGACAGACCAAGCTAACGGCACTTGCATCCCGTTACAAGGAATGTTAGTGAAGAGAGGAACATACGCAAAAACGACGACAAAAAAACTTAACGGGCACTGCGGACATGAACAGCGAAAACAAGGAGAAAGAAACTTACAAACACTCGGACTGCGAACAAACACGTGCGACAAAAAGCAAAGGTGCGAACAACAGGGAAAAAAGAAAAAGAACACATGGACAGTGTGTGCTATACAAAAAGGCACAGGGGAGATTATTGCGTTCTGGTGGACACCTCAAAATCCAACACGATAAACAACGAAAAAATGCGCAATGGCCTATTCCTTTGGGATATTATAAGACATTTTAATATTGAGGGGATTAAAAAACATAAAAGCCATAGGTAGATCACTCTACAAAATTTTTTTTGAAAATTTTGAAGCTGCAAACAAGTGCGTTAGCAATCCCGACTTAATTAAAAATCAAATGAGACCCTTTATACCAAGAAGCTTGGTAGAAACAACTGGTGTTGCTAGACAAATACCTCTTAACTTCACTGAGGAAGAAATAAAAGAAAATATCATTTCAGATATTCCTGTGACAGCTATCTCAAGAATTACCAGAAGAGATCCCAATGACAAAGAGAAGTTCATTCCAACTCTCTCTGTGAAAATAAGTTTTGAAGGCAACGAACTACCAGAAACCATAGACATTTTTTGCGTAAAAATCAAAATGGTTCACTACATTCCTAGAGTTAGGCATTGTTACAACTGCGGCAGACTAGGGCACACAAAAATGGCCTGCAGAGCAGCCAACAGATGCATTATCTGTGGCAAGGCAGAGGGCTGTAGTAGTAAATGCAATGAAACCACAAATTCGTGCATACTATGCGGAGGGGATAATCACAATTCACTCGAGAGCAGGAAATGTTCAAAATGGGCCAGAGAAAAACAGGTGGTCGAAATTATGACAATAAAAAAAGTATCTAAGTCTGAGGCGATTGGGATGTACAATTTAAACAATAATAACCGTTTCTCAGCTCTAGAAAACTATGAGGGAAATTTTCCACAGTTAGAAGCAAAAAGTACAGCAAGAATCAACAATGATGAAACAGTAAATAGAAAACTCACTACATATAAATACAATTATGTAGTTAGAAATCATCAAACCCACACAACAGCTACACCTAACCATTCCAAAATCTTGCCGAAAGCTACAACCAAAACACAACCCGTCTATGAAATGCCGAATTGGTCCAAGGTCACAGAGATTGAAAAGCTTGTAAATCTCCTTATAAAAAGGTACGACATTGACGTTAATGACCCCTTGGTTAACCTAATTCGCAATATAGGCGCAGTACACATTGAAGACAAAACTCCAAGTAACAAAGATGACAAGTCCAATAAAAATATTACAATATAACGTACAAAGCCTTAAAAGTAATAAAAACTATGTAGACTTCTTTAACACTAGTAATAACATTGATATAGTCTGCCTCCAGGAAATTTTTTCGCATGACAACCATACAACTCAACACAATTTAATGAACTTCAACTTACTCAGAAAGACTAGAATCGATGGATATGGTGGCGTAGGAATCGGATTTAAAAAAGGTATAAAATTCACGAAAATCAAATTTGTTTTAAATTACGACATTCTAATAGCCAAGACGATTAATCTTATTAATAATTTAACTATTTGCAATATTTATTTTCCTCCCAACCTTGACACTTTAAATTTTACTAACGAACTGAACCGTGTAGTACTTTTTCTTAACAATCATGAAAACGTTATTATAGCAGGAGACCTCAACGCTAGGCATCAAGTGTGGGGAGACAGAATATGCAACACCAAAGGAAAAATAGTTGTTGACGAAATCAGGAACACCAATCTACAGTGCATCAACAGTGGAGCAATCACTCACCGCACCGGTAACAGTGCAGGAACGGCAATTGACATAACTCTGACCAACATTAACAGCAGTTACACAAAATGGCACTGTCAACAAGTCCATTTGGGAGGCAGTAAGCATTTCCCCATCATCGTTGAGGTCACCAATAGCAGCAAAAAAGCCCAACTATTTCATCCCCAAGGAACGACTCGCCCAGGAACTTGCTCAGTTAAAATTCTCTGACTTAGAAAACATCACGACAGAAATAGACAGCGTTAGGAACAGGATTAAAATTGACTTGAACACATCCAGGCGTACCCCTAAAAACTGGTGGAGTGATGACCTCAAAAAACTGTACAGATTACATGTCGCTAAACGCAAAAAAGCTAATCATACTAACAATGTTGAAGACATGGAAGCCTCAATTATAGCAACTAGTGACTGGAAAGAAGCGGTGAAGGCGGCAAAGAAAGCGAGCTACAACAGTAAAATTGAGGAGATAAACACTTGCCCCAACTCGACACAGGCTTGGAAATTCATAAGAAATGTCAAAGGCAATAAGCGCGCGTCTCACAATTGGGCAGCTGAAGATGACCGAAACTACTTAGAACTGATAAGGAATCAAGCTCAACAAGCCAGCAACCCTTGTAATGTCATCACTCCAACCACCGCTGCATCAGTAAATGCCAACAACAGCGTTGACTTTTCATACAGCAGATTCGAAAATTTATTAGCAAGAAAAAAATCTACTGCTGGGGGTTTCGACAGAATTACGTTTAATACATTAAAGCAATTGTCCACTGAGTCCAAACAGTCGTTATTAGACGCCCTAAAAGAACATTTTTACAGCAACAGGGTCCTAGACGCATGGAGACAAATAAAGGTAATTCCAATACCGAAAGCAAACAAAAACACTGAGGACATAAATAACTTTAGACCCATTTCACTCATATCTGTCGTAGTAAAGAGCATTAATATGATGGTGAAAGAATCGCTGAACGAGTTCCTGGAGACAAGCAATAGACTTCCCAAGAAGAGCTACGCCTATCGAAAAATGAGATCAGCAACAATGTGCATTAACGAAATGCTACACCTTATAGCAGATAGAAAGAAATGTAGGGAATATGCTATGATTTGTTTCTTAGATATGTCGGACGCCTATAATAGAGTAGATCTTGTTTCACTTCATAATATTCTTCTACAATGCAACATTGACCCAACAATTGCAAACTGGATTAACAACTATTTTTCTAAAAGACATCTGACCCTAGGTAATCACACTGTTGAGGTAAACTCTGGCCTACCTCAAGGTAGCTGCCTTTCCCCAACGCTATTCAATATTTATACAGCCCAACTGCACGAAATTAATAACTCTCAGACTCAACTATTTCAGTTTGCCGACGATCTTGCGTTAATATCCACTGGCACAAACAGATTCTCTGCAGCTCTAAATTTACAAAACAAAATAGAAGAATTACAGGCAAAATGCGACAGCTTAAATCTCAAATTTAATCCGAACAAAACAAAATTCATGTATATGTCTGCAAACAATAAACAAACCTTTAGTGTATCCATCAACGGCCTAAACATTGAACAAGTCCATCACTTCAAATGGCTGGGAAGAACAATTAGCGCGAACTCAACCATTAAGGTACACATTAGTGAAATTAAAAAAGCAACAACTTCAGGTAAAAACCTTATTTCTAAATTAACATCTATCAAGTCAGGTATTTCACCTAAAACTTCTATAAATCTTTTTAAAGCGTTTGTACGATCCAAAGCAGAATATGCCAACACCAGTTATGCAAATGCCCCTAAAGGGTATAACAAGCAGCTACAAACCAATTTAAATGAAACGCTGAGGAGATGCCTCGGAGTTCCTCCAAACACTCCAACACTCATGAGATACGCGCTGGCTTGTGAACTTCCACCTCTTCCCAGAGCTGTATGGCTTACGGCCAAGGAACTTGTCAAACAGTGGTTGATCAATCCTGAACTTAGAACACAGATCCAGAACAGACCTCCCATAAATTCCAGCTACAGCATAACGTACGAAAAATTTAAAGCAATTATCAACACCATAGATACAAATGTAGCTTTCAAAAGACACCATAACCTCACCTGCTACGAATCAGAATTGGCCCAGTCCAAAAAGAACGTTACCCCTACACAACTCAGAGCTATCTACAACCAAAAAATTAACACGCTAAAAGAGGAAGGTTTCAAAGTGTATGCCACTGATGCATCGGTGTCAGATAACAAAATTGGCTGTGCAGTCTATGTGGTAACGGCTAACGTCTCATACCTGTTCAATATAGATGGAAACTTCACATCAACTTACGGTGAGCTAGTAGCACTTTCTCAAGCAATCACGATAGCCATTAATAATGATAGTAAAAAAGTAGCAATCTTTACAGACAGTCAGAGTGCTATTAAGGCCCTAAAAAGCCGCACCACACACAATTTCCTAGTAGCTGAAATCCATAACAAACTTTATCACTCCCAAATAGAAAACATTGCAATAGTCTGGACACCTAGCCATGTGGGTATTACCATAAATGAAAAAGCGGATATAGCAGCAAAAACAGCAGTTGACCATGGTAAATCTTTACCCCCAAAACTCACACCTTGTGAAGCACTGAGAAGGATTAGCAAAATGTTGTGGACTGAAGCCAAACAAGAATTTACCAACAAACTTCCAAACTGGGACCCGGACATAGTAGAATTTTGCACGCCCAAAGAAAAACAGCCATGGTTTAAAAACAAAAATGTAGACTTAGAAGCACACGACATAAAACTTTTTAACAGAATTGCTACTGGACACACGTACGGTAGCACTTATTTAACCAAATTTCAGCATTACAGATCAGACAATTGCAGCGCATGCAACATAAAAGAAACTCCTGAACACCTCATATTTGATTGTATCAAATATAACAACTTACGTAATGATAATTCTCTTTTCCGAAACTACCAAAATTTCAAACAGATTCTTCTTTCAAAACTGCCTGCCACATACAAACAACTGGCCGACTTTCTACATAGAAGTGGGCTGGATAAAGCACTTTAAAAAAAAAAAAAAAAAAAAAAAAAAAGAATAAAAAAAAAAAAAAAAAAAAAAATAAGAACTTTAGAAAAAAAAACAAAATAAGAAATTTAGAAAAAAAAAATAAAAAATAAAAAATTTAACTTAGAAAGCATTAAAATATACAAAACTATTGTATGTTTTATACAAATGAGATAAAATATATTCAACTGATTAGTTTCACTACTAGTTATATATCAACTTATAACATTCGTTTAAACAAATGTACTCAATCTGTCATTCTATGTTTGTGTTTTCAGTCTTGGTGTATTGTCTTATGTAGTCTTGTGTTGTTCTTAAATGTCATAAAATAAGAATGAGGAAAGCAGCTGTTACGCTAACATCAGCCAGAAAGAAGCAACATCAAGGAGTCGTATAATAAAACACTCTTCAACGCGGAATTTCAACAAAACACGTCGATACAAGATAAATGGAAGCAACATTGTCCAGCAGTTTAGCCGAAAGATTACAACTAACCAAACAATCGTTCGCAGATAGACTGGTGTTATGCTAAAGGAAGCTGTAATCCACAGCGTTTGGGACAAATAGCATTTCGACTTAGAAAAGAAACACTATCGTATTCAAATGGTATAAGACAACGATAACCACTGAATACATCACGATTTAATAACCGGCTATTTAAGGTGTATAAACCTAGCCATAAATGGAACTTTCGATTTGTTCCTAAAGCCCAAAAAAAAAAAAAAAAA